CATAATGCAGATTGTTGAGTCTTCAGCCAATCCTGATGCTACATTTTTCTTCATAAAGTCCAATTTCTTGAATTATTTTTTCAATGTATATGAGCAAGAGCCTGTAATGACGAAGGAGGAAGTTCAAGTTGCTTGGAAAGAATTGGCAAAAAACAAGGCTCCAGGAGTTGATGGCTTATCAGTTGACATATTTCAACAAACAAAGCTATCCTGGATGTGCTCAGTAAATTTTGTCAAGAAATCTGGAGGATAGCCAGCTAGACAACTGACTGGAAGAGATCTATATTTGTTCCCATTCCAAAGAAAGGTGCCCTGGTAGAGTGTGGAAATTATCGAACAATATCATTAATATCACATGCAAGCAAGATTCTGCTGAAAAATATCCAAAAATGACTGGAGCAGTATGTCAGCAGAGAACTTCCAGATGTGCAGTCTCGATTTAAAAGGGGTTGTGGTACTAGGGATATTATAACTAATGTTAGATGGATCTTGGCAGAAAGCGGAGTGCCAGAGGAATGTCTGTCTTCATTGACTATGCAAAGGCTTTTGACTGTGGATCACAACAAGCTATGGCTGACTCTGAGAAGAATAGGAATCTCAAATTGTGTTTATATGAAACCTATACTTGGACCAGGAGGCAGTCACCAGAACAGAGCAAGGAAATACTACATGGTTCAAAATTGAGAAGGAGGTCCACCAGGGATGTATTTTTGTCTCCATACCTTTTCAATCTGTATGCAGAACAAATCAGCCAGGACACTGGGCTGTATGACGAGGAATGTGGCATCAGGATTGGTGGAATAGTCATCAACAACCTGTGTTATGAAGATGACACAGCCAGCTTGCTGAAACTGAGGAGAACCTGAAGCACTCACTGCAAAGGGTCAAGGACTGCAGGCTTCAGTATGGATTGAAGCTCAACTTCAAGAAAGCAAAGATTCTCTCCACTAGACCAATTGGCAGCATCAGTATGGATGGTGAAAAGATTGAGATAGTTAACAGTAAATTTAATTTGCTTGGCTCCATAGTCAACATTCTTTGTACCAGCGGCCAGGAAATTAAGAGACGAATTACTTTGGGAAAGTCAGCTGTCAGGGACCTCTCCAGAGTACTGAAGAGCAGCTACATCAGGCCGCAGACTAAGGTGTGCCTGGTCTGGGCTATAGTCTTCACAATTGCTTGCTATACATTGTAGAGTTGGACAGTGACTAGGGATGTTAGAAAGAGAATTGATGCCCTTTGAGCTGTGGTGCTGGACAAGAGTGTTGAATATACCATGGACTGCTAGGAGAACAAACAGGATTGTCCTGGAGAGGGTGAAGCTGGCCTGCTCCTTGGAGGCAAGGATTCTGAATCTTGTGTAACATACTTTGGGCATGTTGAAAAGAAGGACCAGTCCTTGGAGAGGGACATCATATTTGGGAGAGTTGAGGGACAGCGCAGGAGAGGAAGACTCTCAATGAGATGGATTGATTCTGTGATGGGGGTGGTGGGAGTAAGTGTGTGTTGGAGACAGTGAGGTTTGCACAGGATAGAGCAGGGTTTAGGGCTCTTCTAGATAGGGCTGCTATTACTCACAAGCAACTCGATGGCACATAACAACAATAATGGGAAAAGATAGAAGTCTGCACAAGAGTCCTTATTTTAATCCATGCAGTCTTCCCTTGTTGTCTTTGGACAACATTTCTATGTATTGCTGCTGCTTGGTTTTTATTTGTCTCTGATAAATGTTGTTAATAATATTGTTTACCTTTGGGCATATGTATTCTTGGCTTGTTGCTTAAAATAGAACACCATGCATGAAAAGGTGACAGGTCAGGGAAAATAGGAAGACTCTCAACAAGATGAATTGACCCAGTGACTGCAGCAATGAGCTCAAATATGTCAGAAATTATGAAGAAGGTGATCGCAGTTCTTAGGGAGTTATGCTGCTTACTCAAATCTGTGGTGGTTCAAATCCACCACCCACTCAATGGGGTGAAGATGGGAAGTTTTACAGTCTTGGAAACACACTGAAGAGTCATCAGTGAATTGGTTCCTTCTCTACAGCAAAAAGAATGAGAAATTTAAAAATGAGCATATCATTTACACATACAGAGTTTTAACAGTTCTTTGGCAGTTTGGATGTCTTTTCTTTTTCTTTCTTGGCTTATTTCCCCAGCTGGCATTTTCATTACAGTGTTAAGTAGGAGTGATGATAGAGGTCATTCTTTCTGATTTTCATTTATAAGAGGAGTGCTTTCTGTTTTACTCCAGTAAGAATAATGCTAGTCATTGGATTGTAACTTACGTCCTTAATTATGTTTTAAAAATTCCCTTTTGTCACTTGTACTGAAAGTTTTTATCAACAGTAGATTCTGTCTTCATAAAATGTGTTTTGTGAGTTGATTGATTTGTGATTATTGTTAGGTGTCAGTGAGTCAAGTATGCCTCATAATGACCCTAGGAACAACAGATATGAATCCTGTCCTATCCTCGTCATCTCTAATACACTTGACTCCATTGTTACATATAGTCACTGTGCTAGTCCATCTCACTGAAGATCTTCCTCTCTTTCACTAGCTCTCCACCTTTCCAAGCATGATGTTCCTCTCCAAGGAGAAACCTCTCCTAGCAACATGCCCAAAGTATGTGAGACAAAGCTTTGTCATCTTTGCCTCCAGAGAGCATTTTGGCTGTATTTTCTCCTTGACATACCAGTTTCTTCTTTTGGTAGTCTATGAAATATTCAGTCCTCTTCTCCCAGCACCACAGCTCAAACACATCGATTCTTCTGTCTTCCTTATTCATTGTTCAGTTTTCAGATGCATAGTAAGTGGTGGGAAAAATCATAGCCTGAATCTCAGTAATTAGGGGAAGTTCATTACAAAGTACTTGCTAAATACTACCAGTCCCAAGGGTGTTGATTTTAGATCCAAGTAATATGAAATTGGTGACTTTTTCAGTCTTTTCTTCATTTATCAAAATGCTATGTTATCAGTTCAGTGGTAAGGTTGTTTTGTTTTCTTGATGTAGAGCTGCTGTCCATCTTAAAGGAATTCGAAAAATTAAGCTTTTGGGAATGTGTTCAGATAGCAATAGATATGTTTCAACTAACATAGACAGACCTAGACATGCTCATGAGTTTATGCTAGGAAATATGGAGGACAGCTATTTGGCCAACTAACCAGAAGAGATTTGCATTTGTTCCCATTCCAAAAAAAGGTGATCCAACAAAATTTTCTAAGAATAATATTGCTGAAGATTATCCAAAATTAGCTGGAAAAGTACATTGATAGAGAGCTGCCAGAAGTTCAAGCAGGGTTGAGGTCATGGCACTAGAGTTATCACTACTATATCAGATGGATCCTTACTGAAAGCAGAGAATACTAGAAGAATGTTTATTTGTGTTTAATTGACTATGAAAAGGCATTTGACTATGTAGAGCATAACAAATTTTGGCTAACATTGGGGAGAATGAGAATTCCAGAGCACTTAATTATGCTCATATGAAACCTATACCTAAATCAAGAGGCTCTCTTCCAAGCAGAGCAAGGAAACACTGCATAGTTTAAAATCAGGAAAGATGTGTATTATGTTTGTATCTTTTCTCCATACCTATGCAGCATGTTTGCTGAGCAAGTCATTTGAGAAGCTTGACACTGAAGAAAACGTAGCATCGGGTTTGAAGGAAGACTTTTCAACAGCCTGCAATATACAGATGACACAACCTTACTTGCTGCAAGTGCAGCACTTGGTGCAGAAGATCAAAGACTGCAGCTTTCAATGTTGATTTCTTCTCAATATGTGATATATATGATTATGTAGTTTTTTCCTTTCTTTCATTGCAGTCATGGATTATTGTTTTCTAATAATGAACCATTGTTGCATACCAGCAATGAATCCTATTTGGTCATACTGTGTTATTATTGATGTGATTTTTTTATTCTGTTGACTTTTTAAAAAATGTTTTTGTTCTTTATCTTGTGGTGCTCGAGTATTTTATAAATTCTAGATATAAGTCCCTTATCTGACATGTCATTACCAAATATTTTTCCCCCAATCTGTGGCTTCCCTCTCTACCCTTTTGGAGAAGTTTTTGAATGTGCATAGGGATTTGATTCTTAGATGGTTCCATTCATCTGTTACATCCTTTTCTGTTTGTAGATTTTTCAGGATGCTTAGAAGATTGTTTATGTTGTGGATTAGGACTTCTAGAGTTCTTCCAAACTTTTTTAAAATTAAGTTTATAGTCCTTGGTTTTGCAGCTTTGTTTACACTAGGAAAGAGTTGGAAACAAGCCAAGTGCCTATCAACAAACAAATGGATAGAGAAGTTCTGGTATATTCACACAATGGAATTCTATGCTGCATTGAAAAACAAAGAACTCATGAAATATTATACAAAATGGGTGACCCTGGAGGACATTATGCAGAGTGAAATAGTCACAAAAGGACAAATAGTGCATAGAGCCACTGTTGTAAAATGGGACTGACATTGGAGTTGGGGGGAGACTGAGAAAGAGGGGATAAATAATGTATACTGCATTGAAATATATGAGAGAGAGAACTGTTTAAAAAGAATATATGATTAGGTATTATTGTCATGACAGGAGTCCAGAATGAAGGCTGCATAGTGGAGTGGGCTTGGGAGAAGTTATTGTATAACAATGAAAGTATTTTTCTTTTACTTTTCAAAGAAAAGAGTGAATTGGTGGCAGAGGAGTAGGCAGGGAGAAAAGTGCAACAATGAATGAATGGAAATCCAAAGTCTCTGTAAACTTTCATTAAAATAAAAAAATATTTTTGTTCTTGTAGAATATTGCTAATTTAATAATTAAAGGATAATTAATTGCACATTCCTGTTAGGGGCCACTATACAACATTACATAATGTTTTAGAAAAGTAATGATGGAGGAAATGTTTATATTCTGGAAATCTTTCATGTCTGATGTCTCTTTAAAAATATATTTACAAAAAATCAGAATTAATAAGGAATATCAAATTTTGTTTGTGTTTCAGCCAACCTTCCCGTGCCAACTATTGCAGCCATAGATGGACTTGCATTAGGTGGTGGTCTTGAACTGGCTTTAGCATGTGATATTAGAGTGGCAGGTGAGAATTAATTATATGCAAACTTATTTTTGAAAAGATAAGGTTTTGTTTACTATTCAGATAATTTAAGTATTCTATTTTGTTTTGCTGGGTAGAAGATTTAGAAAAAGTCACCTTTTGTTCCTAATAATGTATTTCAAAAGGTATGGGAAAATAGCACTGCTAAAAATTATTATGCAGTGTATACAATTTTGGGTACTCCCCAAAAAGTGTGTACTGTTGCATCTATTTTACTTCCACAAGAAACTTGTGGGTAGAAGAAGTGATTAATAAACTGCTCCCTAAAGACAGTTCAAATTAATAAATTGCTGGATCCTAAGGGGTGAGTTATAGTCTTTAAATAAACAATTAAGGTATTTTTTATTTAAAAAAAAAACTCAGTAAAAAAAGTCTTTAATTTTTTTTGTCCAATCTTATCTTTTGCCTTTGAGTTGAATACCCTTCACAGTCACCCTCCATCAGATTTCTGGGGCTATAAATCTTTACAGGAAAAGACTTCCCATCTTCATCTCACAGAGCAGCTTTTGAACCACTGATTTTTCTGTTAACCTACCATCCTATGCCCTAATCTCTACCATGGCTCCTTTTTTATGACCCAATCTTAACAGTAGGAAAACAACAGGATTCAAGTCAGGCCAAAATACTTGAATGTTAGGTATTGATGTGTTTGATATTTGTGTTTTTAAAAGCATCACTTTTCTCAAAAATGAACAAAACACCAGTTGCTATTCTGAAGATTAATCTATGGAGAGTTCATAGCTTAAACAATTAATTACAGTTAAATACAGTAATAAGTAGGAGCTGTGGTACCCTGTACCCTAGTGGTAAGATGCTGTACTGCAATCCCAGAAACATGTAGTACAAATCCACCAGCTTCTCCATAGAAGGATGGGCACTTTCCTCCAGTGTGATTTGTTGCCTCTCAAAACCTGCTGGAAGGTCAGCTATGAGTTGATTCCAGCTTTACTGCACACAACAACAACATAGTAATAAGCATAAGCTCTGTTTGCTTAATGGTAAGAGTTGCACTGCCAACCTAAAGGTACACATTTCAAATCCACCAGCTGCTCCTTGGGAGCAAGGTGGGTCATATCCTCCTGCATTGTTTACTGCCTCTATAAACCCACTAGGGGATCAGCTGTGTGTCAATTCCAATTTGACAGTACATAATTACAGCAACGATAGTGATAAAGTCCTTGAGAGCCAAAATATAACCTTGAGTTTATTTCACTTGAATTTAAAAACCATCTCTAGAATAGATTTGATAGACTAAACACTTAATGACTGATGACCAGATGAGTTTTAGGATGACATCAAGGAAACAATTCATGAAGAAAGCATAAGATAATTAAAACGATATGAGAGACAGAGAAAAGACCAAAATGAATGTTAGGAAAAACTTGCTCTTCAACATGGAGAAGCCAAAGAAAGGGAATAAAAGATTTCAAATGGGAGCTTGACAATACAAGCAAGGTATGAAAATGAAATATTCAAAGATGATGTGGACTTGAGAGCCAAAGGTAAGAAGAACACACTCAGCATTTCTTAACCTAGAAAAACTGATAAATTCAAGCCTCATTTATTATAGGTTCTTTTTATAGACTAGTGGATGATACAAGAAGCATCAATTGAAAATAGGAGTACACAGTCATTGTAACAAAAATAAATGGTCAATATGAATCTATTTCAGGAAGTAACATGATGAAGATCCACTTTTTTTTTTCCTTTTTCTATTAAAAAATTTTGAAGAGAGCTTCTTGGCCAAATGACTACAAGAGCTCCATACTTGTTCCCATTCAAGTAAAGATAATCAATTAGACTACAAAAATGATTGAACAATGTAACTAATATGACACACAAGTAAAAGTTTGTTGAAGAAAAACGGCTGAAGCAGTACATTGACAGGGAACTCCCAGAAAAAATTCAAACTGGAATCAGAACAGGCCTTAAAATGAAAGATGATATTGCTGATGTCAGGTGATCTTGACTGAAAGCATAGCATACAAGGAAGATGTTTACTTGTGTTTTACTAAGGACAAGATGGCATTTCTGTATGGACCATAATAAAATATAGATAACATTGAGAAGAATGGCAGTTTCAGAGACTTCATTGTCCTCTTGTACAACCTGTATATGCACAAAAAAGAAGGGAACATTGCATAGTTTAAAAGCAGGCAAGGCTTGCATCGGGGTGGTAGCCTTTCTTGATAGTCAAGCTGAGGAAATAAATTGCTGAGCAAATAATCCGAGAAGCTGGACTGTGTGAAGAAAGATGTAGTGTAAGAACTGGAGCAATACTCTTCAATAGCTTGCATTATGCAGATGCTCCAACTTTGCTTGCAGAAAGTGAAAATTTAAAGCACTTACTGAAGAAGATTTAAGACTATAGCCTTCAATATGGATTACATCTCAACATCAAGAAGACAAAAAATGTCACAACTGGACCCATTAGATAGTGATAGGTGGATAAAAGATCCATATACAACACCCTGGGTTAACAGCAGTCAAGAAATCAAATGGGGTAGAGGAAGAAAGAAATCAAAAGATGTATTGCATTGGGGAAAATCCAGACCTTCTTTCAGGATTGAAGGAAGATTCATCAACAACCTGCATTATATGGATGGCACCCTGTTCACTGAAACTAAGGATGACCTGAAGCGCTTGCGGCAGAAGGTCAAGGACTGCCGTCTTCACTATGGATTGAAGCTCAATATCAAGAAAACAAAGATTCTCACCACTGGGCCAATTAGCAGCATCAGTTTGGATGGTGAAGAGATTGAGACAGTTAACAGTGTTAGTTTACTTGGCTCCACAGTCAACACTCTTGGTAACAGCAGCCAGGAAATCAGGAGACGAATTGCATTGGAAAGTCAGCTGTGAGGGACCTCTCAAAGAGTACTGAAGTGCAACGATGTCAGGCTAGAGACTAAGTGCGCCTGATCCAGGCAATTATGTGCTATGCATCGGAGAGTTGGACAGTGAATAGGGATGATAGAAAGAGAATTGATGCCTTTGAGTTGTGGTGCTGGAGAAGTGTTGAATATACCATGGACTGCTAGGAGAACAAACAGGTTTGTCCTGGGGAGGATGAAGCCAAACTGTTCCCTGGAGTCAAGGATTCTGAAGCTTCATCTGACATACTTTGGGCATGTTGCAAGGAGGGCCTGGTCGTTGGAGAGGGATCATGTTTGGGAGAGTGGAGGGACAGCGCAAGAGAGGAAGACTCTCGATAAGATGGATTGATTCAGTGATTAGAGTAATAGAAGTAGATATGTCAGAAACAGGTTGGCACAGGATAGGGCAGGGTTTAGGGCTCTTGTACATAGGGTTACTATGAATCACATGTGACTTGACGGCACATAACAACAACAACAGCTTGTTTGCTGAAACTGAGGAGTACCTGAAACATTTACTGCAGAAGGTCAAGGTCTGTAGTCTTCAATATGGATTGAAACTTAACATCAAGAAGATAAGTATTCTCAATACTGAGCCAAATGGCAGCACCATGGTAGATAGAGAAGAGATTGAGGTTGTTAATTTCAACTTGCTCAGCTCCACAGTCAATACTCTTAGAACAAACAGTCATAAAATCAAAAGGCAAATTGCATAGGAGAAGTGTGCTGTTAGAGACCTCTCCAAAGTGCTAAAGAGCAATGATTTTATTCTATGAACTAAGATATGCCTGATGCAGACCATGTTCTTTGCAGTTACTTGCAGTGTATCAGAGAACTGGACAATGACTAAAGATGACTCAGTGCTTTTGAGTTGTAGTGCTGGGAAAGAGTATTGAACATAACAGGGACTCCCAAGAGAACAAACAGGTCTCTTTTGGAGAGAGTGAAACCATTCTGCTCCTTGGAGGCAAGGATTTTGAAGCTCTATGTCACACACTTTGGGCACATGACCAGGTCCTTGGAGAAGGACATCGTGCTTGAAAGGGTGGAGGAACAGTGCAAGAGAGTAGGAACCTGGATGAGATGGACTGATACAGAAACTAGGGTAAGCTGTGTTGGAGACAATGAGTCTGGCGCTCAAGATAGGGCACGGTTCAGAGCTATTGCACATAGGGTAGCTGAGAGTTGCAGGTGACTTAGTGGCATCCAACAGCAACAAAAAGGCCCTTTTTATAGTGCTAAAGAGCACAGATGTCAGTGTAAAGACTAAAGTTTACCTTATCCAAGCCATCGTATTTTAATTTGCTTCTTAGGCATCTGAAAAGTTGGACAATGATTAAAGAAGAATAGATCCCTTTGAGTTGTGGTGTTAGTAAAGAGTATAAGATTGCCAGTAACGTAGACTACCAAAAGAACAAACAAATGTGGCTTGGAGGAAGTGCAACCAGAGTGCTCATTAGAGGCAAGGATGGTGAAACTTTGTCTCACATAATTGGGCACACTGTCAAGATGGACCAGTCCTTGGGAAAAGACATCATGCTGGGAAAGTTAGACGGTTAGAGAAAGAGAGGAAGACTTTGAACAAGAACTGACACGGTGACTATAAGAATGATCTTCAGCATTTTGGAGGTTGATTGTATGGGACAATATAAGGCAGGGTTCAGGTTTGTTGTTCATGGGATTGCTGTGAGTTGTAGTTGATTTGATGGCTCCTAACAATAAAAGACTCAGTAAGCTGCTTGCTTCAATTTTAGGCTCCATATAATTCTTTCTGCTTAGAATGCTTACTTATTTCCGTAAATAAATGCCTCCCACCCCTAAAGTTAAGACACATTTATTAAGGTTCTAGTCCATAAGAGAAGATGATCAAGCATCTTTGGGTTCAACACGACTCATAGCGACCCTATGAACAAAAGGCTTGAAGCATAGAATCAAAGTGATTCTTCCACTTGGAGGCACTTTATAGTTTTCTTTATCTAGGACAATAAAATGGAGATCATGGTGAAGACTACTGGGACAGTTTCGTTCTTTTTTCCATAGCTTGCAATTCCCTGAGCCATATCTTGGCATACCAGAGGATCTCCAGAGTCTCCCTTTAGGAAAGCCATCTTTTGCTTTGGGACCCCTGTACACAATTGTGAGGCATTGTTAAAGTGATTTTTTTCTTTTAATTGTGCCATAAATTTAGTTAGTAAATAATATTCCAAATACATTTTACTAAGGTTTCCAAGTTATTATATTAGGCTTTGGTAATAAGGATGCTAATTAGTTTTGTTTCTTTTTAGCTTCTTCTGCAAAAATGGGCCTAGTAGAGACAAAACTGGCAATTATTCCTGGTGCAGGTATGAGTTCTTACAAATACTCTCTCAATTTGTTTTAAAAAGTAGGGTGTAAGAGGGGAAAAATTATGTTAATTGAAAGGTTATCAAAATACAGCATTTGGGTAAATAGACTAATGCTTTAACTGTTTATTTCCTTCCAAAGTCCTTATTCTGTATATTTTTAAATTGACTCAGGTAAGTGGTGATGAAAAAAAAGACACTTGGGTTGTTACCTTCTTTCCCCCCATTATCTCCATGTTTTTCTGTATTCTTCTTATTTTTAAATTTATTTCATACATTTTAAATCTACCTAAATTTACTTTGATTTTCCTCAGCAGTAGCTTCAATAATAAGATCTCACTTTTTTTAAAGTTCATTGAATTTAAATGCATTCTCATGAATGCAGTTGAAATTTATTTCTCATAACCCTCCGAACACATTACACCACCACAGCATCAGATCTAGAAGAGACCTGTCCGGACCTTGGAATTATCACATTGTGTCTACAATGTAAACAGAGACAATAAGTCACAGAATTTACCAGAAGCGTTGTGTCCAGGATCTTCCCTCAGTACAGCCTCAAGCAAAAATCTTTCTCTGAAGTTGGTACATGGGATTTGAACTTACATTCCCCTAATCAAGAAATGGACAATAACATGAGAAATCAGTAGCAATGTCTAGTGCAAGACATCAGTGAAGTGACTAGTGATCAGATTGAGAGGTGACTGGGGAAGGAAGGGTTTGACTGGTAGATAAGGTGCACAAGGAATGGGGAGGTAGCAGGGAAAAGGTAAGAGAAAATTCACATGTGCCTGAAGTGGGTGGGCAGTGAATGTATTGGCTATTTCTGAAAGGGTAGTGTCTTTCACCTGATAGGTAAAAGTACTTGTCTGTCAGATATTCTAGCAATGAACATCCAAATTAAGACAGACTAGGAAGAAGGATTGGCCATTCACTTCTGAAATATAACTGGTCTTTGAAAACTTTATATACAGCAAAGCCTACTTAGAGTAGACTAACAGATATGGCAAGTGAAGTTGATCCCTCAAATTTAGAAATACAAAGGAGGGAAACTGTTGTAAGAAGAAATTAACAGTTGGTACATGGAATGGGAGAAGCATGAATGTAGGAAAACTGGACATTGTAAAAAAAGAAATGGAATGCATGAATATTGACATATTGGGTATTAGTGAAAAGAGATGGGTTGGCATGGGATATTTTGAATCCCATGATCATATTATGCTGGAGATGAGAAGGTGAGAAAAAAAACGGGTTCGCTTTCATAGTTTAAAAAGCCATTTCTAAATTTATTTTGAAATACAATATTGTGAGTGACAGCATAATGTCCATACACATACAAGGAAGACCTGTTAATACCACTATCATTCAAATTTATGCACCCACAACCAGAGCCAGAGAGGAGGAAATAGATGTTTTCTATCAACTGTTGCATGCAGAAATTGATTGAATAATAATTGCTTTAATAATAATGGATGACTGGAACACAAAAGTTGGGAATCAGGAAGAAGGATCTGTAGTCGGAAAATATGGACTTGGTAACAGAAATGAGGCTGGGGATAGAGTGATAGAATTCTGTATAAGCAAGGATTTATTCGTAGCAAATACCTTTTATAAGAAACATAAACACAGGATATATACATGAATTTCACCTGATGGGATGCACAGAATCAGATTTATTACATCTGTAGAAGGAACCACTGGAGAAATTCAATATCAGCAGTAAAACTAGGCCAGGTGCTATCAACTGGTCATATGCAAGTTCAAATTAAAACTAACGATGGTTAAATCATATCCACAGGAATAAAAATTTGACCTTGAGTTTATCTCTCCTGAATTGAAAAACCAATTCAGAAAGGGGTTTGAGGCCATGAACTCTAATGAACGAAGACCAGATAAGCTGTGGGAAGATAGCAAGAATATCGTTCATGAAGAATGCAAAATGTCATTACTAAGAAGGAAGAAGAAAAGACAGAAATGGATGTCAGAAGAGTCTCTGAATATTGCACTAGAGTACCAAGAAACCAAAGCAAAGGGAAGAAATCAAGAAGGTATAGAACTGAATAAAAGATTTTAAAAGGTTGCTTGGGAAGACAAGGCAAAATATAATGAAATGTGCAAGGAGCTGGAGTCAGAAAATCAAAAGGGCTGAAGTCGCTCAGCATTTCTTAAGTGGAAAGAACTAAAGAATAAATTCAAGCTGGGTTTGTAATACTTAAGGATGCTATGAGCAGAATAATGAATGATTCAAGAAGCATTAAAAAGAGATGGAAGGAGTATACAGAGTCATTGTACCAAAAAGAATTGGCTGACACAGAAGGATTTCAAGAAACAACATAAGATCAAGAGGCAATGGTGATGAAGGAGAAAGTACAGGCTGCTCTAAAGGACTTGGCAAAAAAAATTAAGCCCCAGGAATTGATGGAATACCAATTGTTGTATTTCAGTCAACAGATGCTGTTCTGCATGTGCTCACCAAGTTGTTCCAAGAAATCTGGAGGACAAGTACTTGGCCAACTGACTGGGAGAGATCCATAATTATTCCCTTTCTGAAAAAAGGTTACCTGTCAGAGTATGGAAATCATTAAACAGTATCACTAATATTACACACTAGCAAAATCCTACTGAAGATTATCCAGATAAGACTTGAACAGTACATTGACAGAGAACTATCAGAAATACAGGCTGGGTTTAGAAAAGATCATGACACTAGGGACATTATTGCCACTGTCAGATGGATCTTGGCAGAAAGCAGAGAGTACCAGAAGAATGTCTATCTCTTTCATTGACTGTGCAAAGGTATTTGACTGTGTGGATCACAACAAATTTTCCTTGAGGAGAGTGGGAATCTCAGAACACTTGATCATGCTTATACAAAACCTATACTTGGACCAGGAGGCATTCCTCAGAACAGAGCAAGGAAACTGCATGGTTCAAAATCAGGAAAGGAGTGTGTCAGGGATGCATCCTGTTCCCATACTTTTCAATCTGTATGCAGAACAGATCATTCAGGAAGCAGGACTTTAAGAGGAGGAGTGTGGCATCAAGATTAGAGGAAGATTCATTAACAACCTACAAAATGCAGATGACACAACCTTGCTTTGCTGAAACTGAGGAAGACCTGAAGCACTTGCTGCAAAAGGGCAAGGACTGTAGTCTTCAATATGGGTTGAATCTCAACATCAGGAAGACAAAGATTCTCACCACTGGGCCAATTGGAAGCACCATATTATATGGACAAGAGATTGAAGTGGTTAACAATTACAGCTTGCTCGGATCCACAATCAACACCAGCAGTCAGGAAATCAAAAGACGAATTGTATTAGGAAAATCTGCTGTCATGGACCTCTCCAGAGTGCTGAAGACAACGATGTCAGTCTACATACAAAAGTGTGCCTAAATCCAGGTCTTGGTCTTCTCAATAACTTGTTATAGTTCAGAGAGTTGGACAATGACTAAGGATGGCAGAATAGATGCCTTTGAGATGTGGTGCTGGAGAAGAGTCTTGAACATACCGTGGACGGTCAAGAAAACAAATAGGTCTGTCTTGGAGAGGGTGAAACTAAGTCTCTCCTTTGAGGCTAGGATTTTGAAGCTCTGCCTCACTTATTTTGGGCACATGGCCAGAAGAGATCGGTCCTTGGAGAAAGACATCATGCTTGGGAGGGTGGATGCACAGTGTAGGAAAGGGAGACCCCGGATGAGATGGATTGATAATATAGCTGGGGCAATGAGGGTTGGTGTGCCAAAATTAGTGAGACTGGCTCAGGACAGGAAAGGTTTCAGAGCTGCTGTACATAGGGTCGCTATACATCACAGGCGACTCAATGACACATAACAATGTGTCACATACTATTACAGGTTTGGAAGCAGGAGTAGCATCCACTTCCTAAACAATATGCCTCCAGAAACTCTATGAACTTTGATAAATGTTGATCATTGTTAGAGGAGCTTCAGGCATTTTTGTTCATAGAGTTGCTATGAGTTGTGCTCGACTCGAAGGCAGTCAACAACATTTATTAAGAATAGCCTTCTACCTTTTAGCTTCCTGAATTGTTTTTTGCTATGTCAGATGCTCACCACAGGGCCAATTGGCAGCATCAGTATGGATGGTGAAGAGATTGAGACGGTTAACAGTTTTAGTATACTTGGCTCCACAGTCAACACTCTTGGTAAATCAGGAGATGAATTGCATTGGGAAAGTCACCTGTGAGGGACCTCTCAAGAGTACTAAAGTGCAATGATGTAAGGCTGGAGACTAAGGTGCACCTGATCCAGGCTATAGTCTTTACAATTATGTGCTATGCATCAGAGAGTTGGACAATAAATAGGGATGATAGAAAAAGAATTGATGCCTTTGAGCTCTGGTGCTGGAGAAGAGTGTTGAATATACCATGGACTGCTAGGAGAACAAACAGGTTTGTCCTAGAGAGGGTGAAGCCAGAATGTTCCCTGGAGTCAAGGATTCTGAAGCTTCGCCTGACATACTTTGTGCATGTTGCAAGGAGGGACTGGTCCTTGGAGAGG